TACTTCCGCGCCCCCTCCCCATCTCCGAACCCCCTCCATTTCCGAGCCCCCCCCGGCAGGGGGCAGCGCCGGGGACACCTCGCTGAGGCAAATGGAGAGCAACTGCTTTTTCCCCCCGACGGTAGGGGGGGAAAGATAAGCATGCCCCCGGCGTGGCACACAAGGGCTGCAGCTCACAGGGCTGTGCCACACTCGGCGGCCGAGAGGTACCTGGTGAGCACGTGCACGCGCTGTGAGCTTCGCAGGGCCCCTGCAGTCAGCCCTCGGCAGGCCTAACGGTCCTCGGTTGCTGCCGGCAACCGGCTTTAATTCAACGTCGTTCAGGAAAATCCTTACGATGCAAGGTCTTTTTGCTGTGCTTAGACCAAAAAACGCTATGTTCAGCGCTTCTCAGAATCTCTCACTTGCACAATGTGGTGTTCTTTTTATGCGTTTTCTTTCAACCCAGAAGTCATGTTTCAGTGATTAGACTTTGGAGTCGCCAAGTTTCACAACTCTTATTTCCAGTCTGGTGATAATCAATATTCTTCTTATGTCCCATTTTGTCTGGATGCTTGTGAAAACATCACCTTTCATTGTATTTCTGTAGGGGAAAAAAAAAAACACACACACACATGCATTCAGTAAAGTACTATGTTGTTGTTGCAAGGAAGGACTTGTAAGGGTGTTTATCCTAGAGTGTAGCACCAAAAGCCAAATATGAAGACAATTAAAATCTTACTGAAAAGCAAATCACATGATTCTAGAGAAGAGTTCACAGTTTCTTTTTGCACAGGTTTGTCCAACAGGAAGAAATGAGAGAGGTCACAGACGTGGAAGGCTTTGCTTGGACTCTCACAGGAAGTAAGAAAGAGAGGGAACATCAGCCACCAGGCTTCTTGACACCCATTACATTGCTCTAGGGCTTCTGCACCACTCAAACTTCTGTTTACATGAAGAAACAAGCCAGAAAAAAAACAGGCTCATCAGGATACTGGATGCCCACTTGATCTAGGCAGAGTCCAGAAATTCTGGTAAGTAATTATCACCTACACCTGTGAACTATTTTTCCCTCAGCTCTTCAAGGTACAGCTCCTCAACTTCACAAAGAATTTCACATGCAGTGTACAGGATCCGGAAGTTGACTGCTTCTGTCTCAGTCATGATGACACACTACCCCCTTGAAAGTAACATTAATTAAGGCAGATCGGCTTGATCTTTCAGAGTAACAATCACCGGCCTTTTGTTATAGTGATAAAGATTCACAGCCTGGTGATTTAGTTTGTGACTGTTGCAGTCAGAACATTCAGTAAAGCAGGCATACTGTCAGCAGTGGTTGCCTCAAATGATTGAGTCAGCCATCATGTGGGCTGTAAGATCACTAAAAAGAACTAAGATTTTGAAACTAGCTGACTTCTTTGGAGACACTTGAGTATAGAAACAGCTTAGAAAGAGTCCCATGCATAAGGAGGCTCACGACAGCAAATATATAAGGGATACAGGACAGGAAATTAGACATCCCTGCTACACTGGGATTTGCACCAGCTGCTCTGATGATGCACAAATTTGAAGAAACATGTGAAGCTTTGAATCCAGCTCTGAATTAACCCACCATCTTGAGGCCTCACCTTTTGATCTTGTTTTGAAGACCACCTCCTAAAAGTTGTTACTAAAAGACTAAGATGGCATTCCCCATGTCCCAGGGAACATGGAAGTTCTTAAATGACAGAATTGCAGCAACTGGATAAAGGATGTAACAAAAAATCCCACCAGAGGAGTCACGCTTTGCATTTTGGCAGCAGTTCTCAGTGAAACTGGCATTCATTACGCTTACCATTCAGGAGTTTCTCACACCAGCTGTGCCAGAAACTTAACAACAAAAAAACTGTTATTACATCTCCTCAGCTATAAATGCCAACACCTGGCAGGTAACACCTATTATTAGCTAATTTGTAAAAACAACAGACAGGTTGCAACCCTCTAATGCCCTCGATTTTGGCTGCTTGCTCGCGTCTACCCAGAAAATACCAGGAGGTGAATTTCTTGGCAGGGTTTACTTTGGAAAGGACTCCTTGTCACACCTATGGGCCTTATCACGATCTGCTGTGGCCTGCTTTCTCCTGCCTGCCTGCTCCAATACTCCTCAGCCAATGCTGCACAAAGGGAACACTGCAAGAACAGCAGCGCTCAAAACAAACACTAAGCAAGGTCTTTAATCCCACTGCTCGTTGCTGGCCCCTCTTTCTCAGTCAGGAATAAACCTCTCCCCCCTCAGAAGCCCTGCCTGCCCCAGGCCTACCCTGGCAGGGCCAGCTGTGCCCTCTCCCCCACTGTGCCCCTGCTGCCCCCTTTGTTGACTCCTTTCGGCCTTTACTAGCACCCCTACAGGTCTCCAGCTGACAGCCCAAAGAGAAAGAAGCATCCGTACAGAGCGGCGAGCAGTACTAGCCACCTCTTTCTCTCTCAACCACCCGTTTCTGCCTGCC